CCTCTTATCTGAAGGCTTTCAAAGATTCCCCTCTGCTTATCCTTTGAGAAGCTGAATCTGGCAGGTTCTTTGTTTGCAAGCAACAGAAACAGGCGCTTGCTAACTTAAGTAGGGAAGGCTTTTACTGGATGGACATGAAGGTTTTTCCAGAACTGATGAAAGGCCAGAAAGCCAGATTTTGTACATGATGAGAACAAGGGAGCCCTAAAAATACAGGTAACTTTTATAATCTTGTAATGGCCTTGCTACAAATGAATGAGGTGCAATCTTTCATTTTCTGTTTGTCCTAACAAAATGGCTAAGTTTGTCTTAAGTATATTTCCTAGGTTAAAAAAAAAAAGAGTCATTGGTTGGCCCATACCAGGAAAGCAGTACAAAATAGAGAAATAATGACAGCATCATACTGAAGAGGCAGAACTTCCTGGAATACAGGGAGAGAAGCTCAGCAGATTCTATTCCAAAATAACAACTATAAAACTGGACAGCATTGTCAAAAAACCCACCAACTTTGGAAAACTAAAAAGTGAACAAAGCCATGCAAGGCACAAAGTGCTTATTCTAATAAATCTTTTGACCCTTGGCTGAGGATGGTGGCACTGATCTCCATGATGTTTTGGCCTGGGGCTGCCCCCATCGCCCCCACCGTCGACTTAGCTCCATCATTGCAGTAGGTCTACAGGTCAGGGCATGCTGAGAAAAGCAATAGCTACTTGTATCAGAGGGAAGTGACCTGATTAGGAGGCATGGAAGAATTCTCATGCCTTGAGACATCATGATGAACAGTAGGTGATTAGCAAACAAATGCAGAAGATCAGTGTTACAGTTATGCTGAGCTTGTGGTATTGGTTGGGACAAGCAAAGACTGGAAGCACAGCCAGAATTCCTACAGTGTGGTCTGAGGGACTAAGGCACCCGTGGCTGGCCTTGTTAAACTCCAACAAATCCCTAGAGGTTTGAAGAGCTGAGATCTGTACAAGGTTGAGTACAGTGCTTAGATCAGCAACTTTTAGACATTAAAAACAAGGACAGAAAAGGAAACGACACAACTACAGTAGAGAGACTCTACAGAGTAAATCAGGCAAATTCCATCTACAAGCCAACAAACAACTATTACAACTCCCAAACAGAGAAAGAGACAGGCAGACAGGGCAGCAAGTTATCTAAAATATCCAATTTCCAGTAAAAAAAAAAAAATTACATCCAGAGAAACAGAAAAAAGTCAATAGAAATAGTCTCTCAGAGGTGCTCCACAAAGTTGGATGTAGCTGGGAATAAGTCAAAGCAGATAGTAAAACTGTATTCAAAAACTAAAGGAAATTATATTGTAAAAACTAAGGGTAAATGTTATGACAGTGACTCACCAAATAGTATCAGTGCACAGATAAAAAATTGTATTTTCTAAATGGCTTAATTGAAAATCTAGAGTTGAAAGCAAAGCAAGTCAAATGGCAACTTTGTTAAAGCTGTTCCACATCAGATCTAAGATAGCATAATAAACAATTCATGAACTTGAAAAAAGTTAATAAAAATGATCCAATCCAAAGAATAAAGAAAAGTGAAGAATATTGCAGAGATCCTCCAAGAGCCATGAGACTCCATGGAACATGTCACCCTGCATGGAACGAGAATCCTAGGAAAGAAGTGAGAAAGGGGGCATGAAACTGAAGAAATAATTGCCCCTCAAGTCCCCTACTGTAATAAGAAACATAAAACTATGCATTTAGATAGTTCTACGAACTCTAAGCCAAGTTAATCCAAGCGAATCTACAGTTAGACGTATCCTATTCAAACTGTTGACAGCTAAAGACCAACTTGACTAGTGAGGAGAAAAATGACTAGTGATATAGCGGGGACCAATAAGACCATCAGCAGCTGCTGTCAGGAATGATGGAGATCATAAAACACCAGGAAGACCAATGGAGGATTCAAAGGTGGAGGGAATCTAACCAAAAGGAATTAAATGACATCCTCAAATTAGAAAAAAGAAAGTGGGAAATTTACAAGTACTTGGAAGTCAAATAAGTCACTTCAAAATAACCAGTGAGTCTAATAGAAAGGTCACAGGAGGGCTAGGGATTTAGCTCAGTGGTGCTGTTGCCTGCCTTGAGAGTGCAAAGTCCCACATT